AATGATGAATTCAAAATTAGGAAAAATGTGACTAAGGCATATGATTACCTACTAATCCAGCACATTCCAATTAAACCCAAGAGAGATGATTCCCAATGTAACACTCACTGCTGCAACCCTTAAGTACTCCTGAGATTTCCTAAGGAATAGCTCCCTGCCCCCCACATCCTGATATAAAAGCAGCTGCATTTTACAACTTAAATGGGCATCAAGAAACTTCCTTAATCAGAGCTTGAGAAAATAAATACTTATCAGAACCAGAAGTAAGTCTTGGTGTTTTTACTTTATTTTGAGTTGAGGAAATTGTATTAGTCTCAAGCCAAGAGCCACATATTCTATGCATTTTCCACTCTTAAAGGTCAGCTGTATTTTTTGGACTTTGCCAATCAGTAGGGCTCACGAACCATGTGCATTAGCTGTGAAAGAGGACATGTCTTTCTCTCAGTGGCTGTAGGCAAAGTAGAGGTCAGCTTTGGAAAGTCTTAACTCTACATCTTACAGCACTCATTACTTGCCTACTTAATGCAAATTATTTTTTCTAAGTACTTAAATGATTTAAGTATTTTATTCCTCTTGGCAATGGCATTTCCCATTTTATGCAGAGAAAACTAAGACTAGGACAGGTTAAATACCTTGCAACAATCATGGAATTCATAACTGGTGTAGCCAGAGTCAGAATCACTGACCAGGATTAGATTCATGAAATTCTGACTCTAAATACAAAAATATTGACTCTTTAGACATCTAATACATTAGAGCAGCCCTGGCAGAAAAATACTTAGAGCATAAATAGGGATAATTTGAGACAACCAAAACAGAACAGAGGAGGGGGTAAAGGTTTAAATTTACAGTGGAGATAAGGTACATGCACAAGTAGAACTACTGTGTGATCGAAACTTTCTTTTACATAAACTTCATGGTAACCACGCAAAAAACAATTCAGGGCTGTTTAATAACATAAGAAAAGAAGGGAAGAGTAGGGACAAGAAACAATGAAAACATCGAGAGCAGAAAACAAAAGATAAAACCAGGAAAAGATGGAAATAACCCCATTCATGCTCCTTCCTATAAACAGAAACTCATTTTTTAAAAAAGGTTAGTAAACAACTTTTCTTCTTCTGTAGTTCCTCATGGCATGGAATTTATATATGTCCCTGTGGACAAAATGTAAATCTACTGCTCAAACAATTGCTTTGTACACTCAGGTTCAAAAAAGCACTTAATTCTCCTAAGTTTATGACATTATAAAAAGCTCCATAAGGATCCAGAGGTGAGGAAAACACTGCAAGTAATTCATTCTTTTATGCTACACTATTTTTAAAATATATATATGCTATATAAATATGTGCTTTGAAGTCACAGTATAAAAAGGTTGGAATTTTTCCCTGCCTCTGAAGAAATAATATGTAAGTAGAAAGAAGGTGCGTAATAATGACAGGATGTTTTGGACAATAAGTTAGAGGTATAGAGGGTATACTGGAGGCATAAGGTAGGAAGGGATGAATTCAATCTTGAGTATGACGGGAGCAGAGTAAGAAATTCTTCATGAATAATGGGCCTTTCAAGTGGACCTTACAGAATGAGTAAGAGTTTGGATGGTAAAAAAAAATAGTGCTGAGAGATAGGGGATATATAGCTCAGTTGTATATATAGACATACGTATGGGTGTAAAAATAGTTATCTATAGGTATAACTATACATATAAGTGTAGGTAAGATAAAAATAATATAGTAATTCAATATAAAGGCAAGTGATATAATGACTTGGTAAAAATACAAAGTAGATTTACAGTAGTTTCGCTTTTGAACAATATATGAATTTTAGAGGAAAAATCATTTCAATAATCAGTAACATGATTTGCACCTTCACGTCTGCCCTGTTTCCGTTTGTTTCAAGAGCAGACTCTCAGAAAATGCCCATCAGGAACGACAGTGCAATCACAGAATTCATTCTCCTGGGGCTCACAGACTGTCCCGAACTCCAGCCTCTCCTCTTTGTGCTGTTTCTGCTCGTGTACCTGGTCACCGTCCTGGGCAACCTGGGCCTGGTGGTGCTGATCAGACTGGACTCCTGTCTTCACACGCCCATGTACTTCTTCCTCACTAATTTAGCCTTTGTTGACTTGTGCTACACCTCGAACGCCATCCCACAGATGCTGACTAATTTCCTGTCAGAGAAGAAGACCATCACCTTTGCAGGCTGTTTTACACAGTGTTACATATTCATCGCGCTGCTCCTCTCTGAGTTTTACATGCTGGCGGCCATGGCCTATGACCGCTCCGTGGCCATATGCAATCCCCTGCGCTACAGTGTGAAAATGTCCAGGCGGGTCTGCATCTGCCTGGCCGCATTCCCTTACGTTTACGGCTTCTCGGATGGGCTGTTCCAGGCCATCCTGACCTTCCGCTTGACTTTCTGTAGGTCCAATGTCATCAACCACTTCTACTGTGCCGATCCGCCACTCATTAAGTTGTCCTGCTCTGATACTTACATCAAAGAGCATGCCATGCTCATATCCGCTGGCTTCAACCTCTCCAGCTCCCTCACCATCATCCTGGTATCCTATGCCTTCATCATCGCCGCCATCCTCCGGATCAAATCAACAGAGGGAAGGCGCAAGGCATTCTCTACCTGTGGATCCCACATGATGGCCGTTACTCTATTTTATGGCACGCTCTTCTGCATGTATGTAAGACCTCCAACAGATAAGACTGTCGAGGAATCCAAAATAATAGCTGTCTTCTACACCTTTGTAAATCCAGTGCTTAATCCATTGATCTACAGCCTACGGAACAAAGATGTGAAGCGCGCATTGAAGAAGATCCTCAGACGAAACATGGGTAGTGAGTGGGCAGTGCCTCCACTTTCTAATAAACCGTAACTCTAAACCTTTGGCTAAAGTGTCTTGGCATTTTGATGATCAGTTTCGTATTCTTTATGGACATGTCTCAAGAAGCTCAACTAAAACTCTAAGTTCTAGGCAAAAAAAAAAAAAAAATGAGCTACTCTTGTTAGTCTAGGCCCCGGCCCCTCAGCGTGTGGTCCAGGGTCTGTCAGCAACAACGTTACCATGGAGATTGCTATGATTCGGCACCTCGAATCTGCGATATCAAACTGGTGTTTGAACCAAATCCTAAGTGATTTGTAAAAACATTAGAGGATCAATGTTTTAAATGAAAATTCCCCCTTGGCCTGCCTGGGGAGCTGGTGTGCTCATATCATTTTTCACCGTGGACAGGATGAAACATGTTCTCACTTCAGTGTCTTGTCTAGACTGTTATTTCCATCTATCTTTTGGGACTAAGAATCTTTAAGAAACAAACCCTTCTGTACTCCTCCCTACTTTCTAGGTAAAACCAGAAACTATGGGTCATGATAGTGGTTGCCCCGTTTCTTGAGAATGTGCTTGTATAATGTGCTTCTGAAGGTTCTTCTGAAGGCGTGAGAATGGGAAGAGAGAGGAATAGCATGAGGATTCTTTCCGAGACCTCAATTTGTGGATCTAGTTTGTGTTCTCTGAGCCATAGGGTCCCACTTCCTCCCTCTGATCTGCAACCCTGGATCCACAAATTCAGGTCTAGAAAAAAATGAACACTTTCTGCATCACTTAGATTTCAAAGATTTAGAACTTCTGAAGTTATTTATCTTCTTTTCTAGCTTTTAAAAATGGAAGTTTGGATTATTTATTTCACTCTTACTTTTTTTGTCATATTAAGTATTCATACATTTTACCTAAACACTGCTTTAGCTGAAAGCTGCTAACTTTTTATAGTTCACTTAGCAATATTTCTATCTTCCCAATGATGTCTTTTTTTAATCTATGAGTCATTTAGCAGAGAGTGGTTAATTGTCATACAGTTGAGACGTTACAAGATATTTCATTATATTTTTGTAATTTCGTTCTCGTGTCAAAGAGTACTTACTAGCTATATGATTTTATTCTTGAAAATTTATTCACTAGTATTTTTCCAGCTTTATTGAAATATAATTGGCATATAACATCATATAAGATTATAGTATACAACATGATGCTTTATAAACATATATTTGAAAATGATCAGCACAATAAGGTTAGTCAACACATCTATCATCTTATATAATTACAACGTTTTTTGTTGTAGTAAATAATTGGATATTTGGTAAATGAGAAGAAAGAGTGGATTACTATTTCATCTTTACTCTGTTCGTTTTCATGTGTGGGCAAATAAATAACATTGGTAAATTCCATGCTTACCAGGTTTTTCATGATATATCATTTTCCAACTCCTAGACCTAACTACTTGATCTAACTCTATTACAACTCATTATATCTTGTCCAAATGATTTTGTTTATGGGCTTTGTAATTTAGCCACTTTATTCTAGATATAAAAAAATTTTTAGCAATCACTCAGTAGTAATTTTGTGGAAAGGACCGTACAAAACACAATTCAGACTGGGAAAATATCACAGAGACATCAAAGTCTGTGAATTATGTCATTGTTTTATATCTTTATTAATTTTCAACTGATCTGGTTGAAATAAAGTTATCCAGATTGCAAAAATTCCATGAGAATAAACTCCTGATCACCTAAAGGAATCAGTTCAAAATAAACTGATACAATCACATTGTGCCAATCCCAAGATTCTAATGAGTATGAACCTACATAAATTACTATTTCTCTGTAGTTTTCTCTTATAGTAATATTGTAATTATTTATTCAGAGTGTATTGAAAAACACTCCAAAACATTTTTGGAGTGTTTTTCAATACACTCTGAATAAATTCAAATTACAAGTTGGGTATAAGTCATTACCAATAACTCATCCCTTGAGCCACTAATGTCTCCGAGAAAATCTTTCCCAGGGTCAGGTAGGAATGAAAATTTTGACTTCTATGCTTGCAATTTCTCTTCCTATTTTGGTTTTATATCTTCACAAATAGGATTCAGGTAACAACAGAAGCAGTTTTGAATGTTAGCATAATTTTTAGCCTGTATTTCTCTTATAGATTGGTCAGAAAATTTTATTGGAATTATGTTTACATTAATCATTTTACTTTACAACTAGCATTTTCTCCATTCATTCAATAATTTAACACACATTCGATACCATATGGAGTAAATACATGACAATTATAAACATTCGTTTAGAATATCTATTGAAAGAAGAGTCCCGCCCCCCAATCAAAAAATAAAATTGGTAAACAATTTATTTTAGAATATCTATTGAAAGAAGAGTCCCCCCCAATCAAAAAATAAAATTGGTAAACAATTCAGAAGATGGACAAATTCAAGCATAATTATAGTCATTCTAGCAAAAATTAAGCTCTCATAGAATTTATAGATCTCTCTTTAAATTATTGGAGAGAGAAACTTTAGGAGCAATTTAATATTCACTAACAGATACATGACTAGCAATGAGTGTAGGATTTGTAACATAATGAATCAGAATGGTATAAACAACAGGAATTTTAGAAATTATTTAGTCCAATTTGATACTAAATAAAGACTCTGAAGTCTATAGAAAGAAAGCCACTTTATCAAGGTGAAAAAAAAAAACTGTTTCTAAATGAAGGCTCAAAAAGAGATTTTACTAATATGTCATTGGCTAGTAGGAAGTCATGTGTATCATGATCTATAATTTAGATTCACACATTGTAATCAGGTAACGTATCTGCCTTTATATTCGTTAGACGCTGGAATGGGAAACTGGGAGAGAGGGAAGGTGTTGGAGTTAATTAAAGCAGAGTGGACAGTGAAGGCATTTCTTCTCGGGAAAGCACAGGCACATGACGTGTGTGGCTCCACCAATTCTATGACCCAGCTAGCTTTTTCTCCATTTCCTCCCTTAAAATATCGTTGTGCCCAGCTATTCTTGCTTCAGTGTGATCCTGCTACCTAGGACATTTGCATTTTAACTAGAGTCTGAAGAGTGCAAACTTTACCACAAATGACCATTTCAACAACCAGTATTTCAGGTACCAGTGACACTTATAGAGGCGAGTTTTGCACTTTCATTGATTGGTTGCCTCTTTTTTTTTTTTTTGAGTGGGAGAACAGAATATTCTTGGAACTCCAAATTTTTACCAAGTATTTATCATGTTTACCAATTTACTGTAATAGTCACTTGTGGATTTTTGTTTAATAATCTCTACTAAACTACAAATAATGGTTTTTTTTCACTTTACATATCAAAAAAATAAACCTATATATGTATAGATATCCTGTGAATCAAATTCATCACATGAAAAAAATAAAGCATCATTAAGGGAAAAAAAAATTCATTGGCATGAACAAATCTGTGTTGTCTGTGTTAGCTAGTTTATTTATGATTATTCCAACCCAAAGGAAAGCAATTTTACATTATTGGGCCAGTGAAACCTAATGTGCAGTTTTATTTCAGTTATATTTCTTAAAATAAGAAACATAGACATTAAAAAACTCATTGCTACCTACACTGACTCCTGAACACCAAGAAATTTCAAATTGGGCACCAATGTTAT